ACAAACACAACCACAACCACAACCACAAACACACAACCACAAACACATCCACAAACACACAATCACAAAGACACAACCACAAACACAACACAGCACACAACCACAACCACAACACACAACCACAGCACATAACCCGAGGACCCACAAGCAAAATCGAGAACTACAATACTCACGACCATGGCAACATGCTCATCACTATGGCATCAAGGCAAATGATTGAAATGTCATGGTGGGGATCACTCGAAGTAAAGTCATTTTAGACTGTGGCTCAAAAACTAGGGTGCCATCCCAAAGCTTCTTGTAATGGAAAAGTGGATCAACACCGGCAGTTTCAGGGTATCACTTTCTGTGCCACACCCCCCAATATACGCCCCTCAAGACTCTTGGCTCAATTCCCAAATGGTGATCTTTGGCATTGGTTCGCCAGGACTTCTGCTGTAGAGGCTGTAGAGGCAGACCTTGCAAATCATGCCCACCCCGTTTTCGCATCCCCTTCCAAGTCTGTGGAGTCTGTCTGGTCAGTCTGGAAAGTCTGTCCAAATCACCTGGAACCAGCACGACGCACGACTTCCCGATCCATCTCCCCCACTTCGGTCCACCCTGCCACCGGTCTTCCGTGCCGCTGCCACGGTCGGATCCGGGCCACCGCGGTGCGCCTTCTCGTAGCCCAAGAGCGTGGGCACCGTGGCCTGCCGCGCGGACCGGAGGCGCTGCACCTGGCGGTGGAGCGGACGACTACGGCAGCCACGAGCCCCCCCCCCGAGGACGGAAGCAGCCGAAACCACGATGAAAATAGTAAAGCCACGGAAGGTCACGGTCATGGCAATTAGAAAAAAGAAGGTCAAGGCCAAGGTCGTCTTCTGTTCCCGGAAACGACGGACACCAGGACGGGGGTCCCGGCATAGAATGAGAATGAGATAGAATAAATTTGGGTCTATCCCAGACACCCAGGGCGCAGTGGATGATGATGGTTCAGTTGCAGGCCTTTCTCAAACTTGATGATAATCTTTTTTTGCCGACTGTTGCTGGTAATTAGTGGGCTAGACTCAAGAACAAATCACAACCACTGAATATCATGGGTATATATGGAATCCTATTTATGGAAATATACGAGTAATATACTGAGTATTTTTTTCCAACGGAAGGATTTGTGTCGATCAACACTAGGACTCCAAGGACCTGTTGGTTCCGGTCGAAAGAGTTCGGCCGGTCAGTCTTGACACCTCTTCGAAGCAGGACAAGCCGGCACTCCGGTGTCGCTCGGGTTCGTTGGAATCATGTCCGGTAACATGTGAAAACAAGTGGAAACCACTGGATATTGGGTGTTGCTGATAGGATCTCCAGGTTGGAGAAACCTGCCATGCAGGTATGCAAAATAGTTTGCAGAATAACTGTTGGACCATCCAAATGATCCAACACTCAATCCGAAGATGCTCCAACCCGGAGATCCACAAACAGGATGTTTCACATCTGCTGTATATGCATGCTGTGGGCTGTACATGGGGATTGACCGACCACGCAGCCGAACCAAGAGGTTCCAGGATGGTTTCATTCGCCCTACTAAATCAACAAGGTGTTCCATTTCTTTATGCACACTAAAAACCGTTGTATGATATTTATATATGTATATATTAGTTGTGAAACGTGCAGTTCGCCGGCCGTTCAATGCTCGACCATGTGGCACCAGTCCATGAGGTGGGTGGGAGAGGTGACTTGAGACCAAGGAAAAGGATCGGTGGTTGGACAGGGTTCCATAGGTGCAGGGGTGGTGTTCGATAGGTTCACCTAGGCATATTCGCATTGGTAGCGGAGCCCCCAAAACATAGGGGGCAGGTTTTTTACTTTGCATCACGGGGCGTGATTTGCAAGCCATGGGTGGGGGCAAAGGTGGAGCCTCCAGTGCAGCGGCCGATGGTGGCGTGGGAGAAGGGAAATCTTCCTTTGCTACCAGTCAACTGCCTTGGAGTCAAATCCCCAGTTTTACTGCGGGAGAGTCGGACTTGGAGGACTATGCCCAGAAGCTGATGTTCCTCCACTCGATCTGGCCAGAGGAGTACATTTCACACTTGGCCCCGAGGGCTGCTTTACAGTGTGATTCAGTGTCATTCAAGAAGGTGTCCAAGATCGATCCAAGCCGACTCAAATCCAAGGATGGTTGTGAAGAGATCCTCAAGGCATTGGGGATGCAGTGGGGACGGTTCCAGAATGAGGACCGCTACGTGAAGTTCGAACGAGCCTTGTTCCTGACTACCCAGAAGCCAGATGAAAGCAACGACAGTTACATAGCACGCCATGAGGCCTGCTTTGAGGAAATCCTCCAAAAGGACAAGGGCGTCACCCTGGAAGAGATAAGGGCCTATGTGATGATCAGACACTCCCAGCTCACCGGTGATGAGAAGAAGAAGATCATCGTGGATAACAAAGGGGAGTTGACCTATGAGGCCACCCGGAACTCCATGAGACTTCTGGGATCCAAGTTCTTCCAAGACCTTCAGGGTGGAGGTGGGAAGAAATACAAAACCTATGATGTGCACACCGTGAATGAGTCAGAACCTGTTTTCACCACCATTGATGAAGTGGTGGATGAGGAACAGGCCTTCCAGGTGATGTGGGAGCAGGGCGATGAGGATGCCATCTTCATCCAGGAGTTCGAAGACCAGATCATTGAAGCAGTACAAGAGTCAGGGGACCTTTCCAGCTGCTTCATGAGCTACCAGGATGCACGTGCACGGCTTCGAGAACGTGCCAGGCATCGAGGATTTTGGCCTTCACGGGCTCCCGGCAAAGGAAAGGGCTTCAATGGTGGTGGAAAGAAGGGAGGAAAAGGTAGTGGTGGCTACCCTCCACGACGGACACTGGCTGAGCGAATCGCAAACTCGACTTGTCGAATCTGCAACAAGCCAGGCCATTGGAAGAGGGAATGTCCACAGCGCCAAGACCGTCAAGACCGACAAGTTGACATGGCCACCATGGCTGAGGAGATGTCCGAGCAGAATCCACCTGAGCTCCCAGAAGACCTGCCGTTCGAGATCCAGGAACCGATTGAGAACCATTTTGTGCAAGATTTTCCTTGTTATGCTCAAGATAGGGGGAGTGATGACTTGGTGAAACCGGTAATAGATGGTGAAGTTTTTTGTGAGGAGTGTTTTGTTAGTGTGGAAGAGTTGGGGTTTCGAGAGAAGTTGACCAGAGCACTCAATCATTCGGCAAGGCATCACGATGAATGTTCAGTGCGACGACCAGCCGGGACGCATGAAGCGACAAGCTTGAGCCAGTCTTTCTCCGTTCATCAGACCTCTCACGTTTCGGCCAATGACGGCCATGAAGAATCAAGTGAGGAGGCGATTTTAGATACCGGAGCAAGCCGAACGATCATAGGTAGTGAAAGGGTCCCCCAGTTGGAAAGGGCTTTGAAGGGCATTAAGATTCAGCGTGGTCCATCACGGTGCGTTTTCCGCTTCGGTAACAGTGGTTTGCTCCATAGTGAAGAGGCACTGTTCCTGAAACGACATGGAAAAGGCTGGCTCCGCGTTGAGATCGTGCCCGGAAGCACTCCATTCCTGATATCAAACGCAGTGATTGAAGGCATGAAAGGAATTTTGGATGTTCATTTGGGTTGTTTGAGTTTCCATGGAAGTGATGACATGTTGAGGCTGAGACAGGTAAGGAGGAAACTGAACTGTGTGAATATTCGTGATCTTTTGAACATTCGGTTTCATGATGGTACGGGAGAAAATTGTTTGCACACAGAAGTTGAAACCAACAAACAAGACAGCCCACAACCACCACCTCAGGACGTGCATGTTGAATTTGTGAAGGAACCAAACCACGATGAAAGACAAACAAGTTTGCTACAAACCACAGACTTGCAGCAGCCAGCATTGCGTGATCCTCGTGAACGTTCGGCAGCCAGAGTGACAGATCAAGAGACGACCATCGGCTCGACCTCACGTGTGTTTCCCAGACATGGCACTGCGGAAGACCGTTCCCCAGTTTCAACTCGACGAGTTGTCGGGAGAAGAGGACGCAGCTCTAGTCCAGGAGACCCATCAGCCACACACCTACCAGTACAAGGTACCGGCAGGAATTCGAAACCTTCACCAGTGGGGACTAGAGACATTTCAGTCTGGAAAGCACAAGGGGAAGACCTTTGCCGAGACATACGAGAAAGACAGCGGGTATGCTCAGTTCATCCTGCACAACACCCGATTGACGTCAGTCGACATGCTCAGCTTCCAGAACTATGTCAAGGCCACCAAGAAGAAACTGTCTCGGGAGATGTTGCAAGGGCCCATCATGCCGAAGACTCAGGCTCATCGCCATTCTGCAATGAGCTCGGGAAGACTCCCGAACAAAGTTCTTCCAGGACCAGCAACCGGCTCCGAGGCAGAGTGGATTCCAATCGATCCACTCACTTTGAGCAGTCCAGAGAAGCCGACGTCAGAGACGCACAAAAGGGGCTATTCGCAAACCATGGTCCCGACGCAGATGGTGATCGAAGAGAACAGCGAGAAGGTGAACGAGCTTCAGACCCAGATTGCCATCCTGCAGAGGGAACTGGCCAAGCAGAAGGCTCCTCAGTCCAACGATCCCCAGACTCCCTGAGAAGGGAACGACGGGGAATTATCAATTCGAGATCGCCGAGGTGGAACACAGAGGAGGTGCATAAAAGGTGTCAGGAACTAATCAATACCATTGAGGACGGGTTGTCCAAGCTACCAAAGAAGATTGTTGCTGACCATTCCAAACCTCACTCTGGTCGTTCAGATTCAGGACACGATCGGCCTGTTGATTGCCTTGAGGTGTATTGTAGTAAATCATCCCAATTGACCCAACAGATTAATGGTCTAGGGGGGAAGGCCTTGAGATTTTCGATTGAAGATGGGGATTTAAGTTCACCCGAAGGCATCAGCAAATTGTGGACCTGGATTGAGATGTATGAACCCGCCCACATCTGGGCATCGCCGGACTGTAAGCATTGGGGAGGGTTTTCACGTTTGAACATGACACGAAATAGTGACACCGAGAAACACATTCTGATGATGAGAGAAAACGAGAGACAACATCTGTGTTTGTGTGATGAACTGTATTGGCATCAAGTGTGTTTGGGGAGACACTTTCATTTAGAACAGCCAATGGGATCGGATATGTTGAAACAACATGAAATGTATGAAATTGCTACAGGAACGATGCCGGCGTCATTCGACCAATGTCAGGTGGGGGGATTGCGTTTGCCGCAGGACGATCGTTTCCTCCGGAAGAGAACTGTCGTACATACAACATCCAGACATGTCCATTCCCGACTACATCGCAGATGGTGTCTACATGATCATGAACATCGACGTATTGAAGGAAGTTTTACATACAAAGGAGTTCGACAACAAGTTTCAGCATATGCCGCACACTACACACGAATCTTTGCAAAAACCGTAGCCAAAGCCATGTTGCAATCGGTTGAAACCCAGGAGGATCCCTTGATAGTCATGGAACTTTTGGCTGGTTTTGAAGCTTCCGAAGGGCAGAAAAGATCTCGGGAATCCCGACAAGATGTGATGGATTCTCTCCGGCTGAAACGTCGACGATGCGTAAATAAACAGCCATGTCCCGAAGCTTTCATGGTGCCTGGTGAGACGCTCTCATGGGATCAGATCATGCAAGAAGTGGCCAAGGTTACCCCAAGAGTTGGTCCACATGTGATTAGGGATGGTCCCTTGGTTGAACAGGTTCAGAAAAGGGTCCCTGAAATGAGAGTCCATCAGATGGTCACCTGCCGTGGGACAGACAGATTCAGGATCCCAAATCGACAAGAGGAAGTTAGGGATCTTGTTTTGAGAAAGACAGTGTATGTCCATCGGGTTTCAGGAGAAGTCATTGATGTTGGGGATCCTGAGGAATGGCAAAAACAGTCTCGAGTGAGACGGATTGGTAAGTGTGGTCCCGCTCGAATTTCGCTGACAATTTTTGGATCACATGCTGATCAGGGCTCGCTTTCCATAGCTCAAGAAATGGAGGCACCATCCGAGAACAGGATGGAGGGTCTCCTGGAGAAGACCCTGGTCATGCCTTCCACTGAGGCATGGGCACCACGGCCCATTGCAGTGTCAGGACCAGCTTTCATGGCGCTCAGTCCCCAGGAAAGGGCAGACATCCAACGGTTACATCAGAATTTGGGACACCCAAATCCAGAACTGTTTCAGAAGTTTTTACGGGAACGTGGAGCCACCGACCTGGTCCTGAAAGGTGTCTTAGATTATCAATGTCCCACATGTGCCGAAAACCAAGGAGCCCCCCTGTTAGCCCGTCCAGGTAGTATCCATAGGGAATTGGATTTTAATGATGAGGTTGGGGGTGATGGAGCATGGTGGAAGAATGGTAGGGGGAAGCATTTCCATTTCATGCATTTCATTGATGAAGGGACATTGTTTCATGTGGGTGCACCCAGTGGCCGAACAACCAAAGAGCAAATCAGAGTGTTTGAAGATGTTTGGCTACAGTGGGCAGGACCATGTAAATTGTTGTACCTCGATCCCGCTGGTGAATATGTAAATGAAGAATGGACCCAATTTCTTCAGCGGGAGAATATTCGAGTGTCTTTGAGTGCAGGGGAAAGTCACTGGCAACTCGGAAGATGTGAACGCCATGGCCAGATTATAAAAAACATGTTGGATAGAATGAACAAAGAGCAGCCCATTGAGACAGAAGAGGAGTTTAGAGTTTGTCTGCGCCAAGCGTTTGCTGCAAAGAATGCTCTCAGTCGAGTTGGTGGCTTTACACCAGAACAAGCACTCTTGGGGAAGTCAAGGCATCTTCCTGGATCGTTGACCGGGGATGAAGATTGTCAGCAGTCACAGCTTGGCAGTGAGCGATGATCCAGAAGGCCAGTGGTTTCTCAAGACGTTGGTTCGCCGAGAACAAGCTCGACGGAGTTTCATAGCTGCTGATAACGATAACAGCTTTCGCCGAGCTTTGTTGCGCAGGACTCGCCCCAGCAGAGCCCAGTACCAAAGAGGTGATTGGGTGCTGTATTGGAGAAGAAAAGGGGTAGGTCGAAAAGAAAGAGGCCGATGGTATGGTCCCTCACAGGTCATTGTCTGTGAAGGTGATCGTGTTGTCTGGCTTAGCCACTGTGGCCGTTTAATTAGAGCAAGTCCCGAACATCTCCGTCCGGCCTCTCTGCGAGAGTATCATCTACTCCCTAGGAATGATCAAGGGGATGTCATGGATGAGAAGTTGAAAGAAGGAAAAGGCCCCCGAGAATTTTTGGATTTGGATGAATTGCCCTCGCGAGATGAAGCTATGGAGGACCCGTCTGAAGATGCCAGTGAACAACCCGAAATGGAAGTCTCACCGCCATCGACCCGAAATGGAGAGAGTGTGAAGGAAGTAGGTAGTGAGTACACACCATCGGAACCAGTGAGAGACATGGAACTAGATGGTGTTGAGGTTCCAGTTCCGGTTGAGTCAGATGATGAATTGTTCTGTTTCGGTGACGATGTTTCCTTCCAATCATATGATCTAAACTATGAGATTTGTTTTCGGGACGGACCAGTGGAAAATCTTGGTGGACGAGAGGACTCTGTTTTTGGAGTTTGGGACAGTTTGAATGTTTCTCTCACCAAGAAGGAAAAAGTAGAACTTCGATGGGAGGATTTGTCACCAGAAGACAGAAAGAAATTTCAAGCTGCCAAGGATAAGGAAATAAAAGCCTGGCTCGATCACAACACGGTGAAACGTGTTGCCCAGGGGACTCTTCGACCGGAAGAGGTCATGCGTTGCCGGTGGATCTTGGTGTGGAAACCACCCGAGCATCCGGGTGGTGAAAGAAGAGCCAAGGCCCGCTTGGTCGTGCTTGGATTCACAGACCCTGGCATATCCCACATCCCAAATGACGCCCCAACGTTGTCTAAAGACGGTAGGATGTTGATAGTTCAGACAATTGCTAGTCGTAAGTGGGAGTTGATTAGTTTTGACGTAGCGACTGCATTTTTGAAGGGTCAGGGAGATGGGAGAAACCTTGGAATCCAAGCCCCAGAAGAACTGACAAAAGCTTTGAAGATGTCCCCAACGGACCAATGTCAACTTCAAGGTGGAGCCTACGGACGAATAGATGGACCATACTTGTGGTACAAATCGTTTAGGAAAACCTTGGAGGATCATGGTTTTGTTTGTTGTCCATTTGACAGTTGTGTTTTTAGTTTGGTGACAGAAGGTCCCGAAGGAAAGCCTCAGGTTCGTGGTTTGTTGGGAATTCATGTGGATGATGGTTTGGGGGGAGGAGACTCCTATTTTCATGAGGTGCTTCAGAGGATCCAAACAGTGTACAGCTTTGGAGCATTTCACAAACGAAATTTTGTGTTTTGTGGTGTGCGGTACTTTCAATGGGATGATGGATCGATAGAGCTAGATCAACGAGAGTATGTGGAAAGAATTGCCCCGATCCAAATTCCAAAACACAGACGCACAGAACCTTCTGCCTCAGTGACTGAAGGAGAGCGACAGGAGGTCAGACAACTGTGTGGCTCATTACAATATGCTGCAGTGAATACCCGTCCTGATTTGGCAGCCAAGATAGGGGAAATACAGTCTAGAGTAACTCGTGCGACTGTTGGGGAAATGTTGGCCTTGAACAGGATTCTTCATGAAGCAAAGACTCATGCCGTTTGCTTGCACATTGTCCCAATTCCTGTCAGAGAGCTCACCTTCTGTGCATTTAGTGATGCTTCATTTGCCACGAACAAAGATACGTCGTCCAGGCAGGGAACAATCATCTTTTCAACAGATGGACGATTGGCATGCAATAAAGTGGGGATTGTGTGCCCGGTAGCCTGGTCTTCAAAGAAGATCCCTCGAGTAGTTCGATCTACTTTATCGGCAGAAGCAGTATCACTTAGTGCATCGCTGGATAGACTTTCGTGGCTCCGACTCTTTTGGGAATGGTTGAAAGACCCAAGCAGCAACATCATGGAGCCCGAATTGATGCTGCAGAACGCTCCAAAGTCTTCCATAGTGACAGATTGCAAGTCTGTTTTTGACGTCGCGACAAAGACCTCTACTCCTACTTGTGAGGAATATAGAACTTGCTTAGAGTGTGTTTTGATTAGAGAACGTCTCAAGGAAAACTGCCAGCTTAGGTGGGTGAGTTCTCAAGCTCAACTTGCTGATAGTTTAACAAAAGCTATGGAAGGAACTTTGTTGCGCCAATGTTTAGAAGAAGGGCGATACAGTCTCTATGATGAGACGGCTGCACTGAAGGAACGCTCGGATAGAAGAAATAGGCTAGCATGGCTTCGAGAAAATACAAAACAGAGAGACGAAAAAGAATGCTAGAAAGTAAGATGAGTGTGAAACGTGCAGTTCGCCGGCCGTTCAATGCTCGACCATGTGGCACCAGTCCATGAGGTGGGTGGGAGAGGTGACTTGAGACCAAGGAAAAGGATCGGTGGTTGGACAGGGTTCCATAGGTGCAGGGGTGGTGTTCGATAGGTTCACCTAGGCATATTCGCAATTAGTATATATATATATACCATATCTATTGTCCAGCTAATGCATGGTAATGCTCCAAGCCGTTTGACTGTCAACGCTAAAGCTCCCTTGGGCTTCCCCGCCGCTTCTCGTCTAGCTTGTAAGGCTACATTCTGGGGCTCCACCTGCAACGTAGCACAGCGTAGCACAGGATACGAGTCTAAGGAACAGTTGTTTTGGAGGCTGAAAAAATGCATCATTTGGGAGGATGTCTCTTAGGAAAAATACTGGATTTAGAGACTTAACAGATCTTAACACTTTTGGAGGACGTCTCATAGGAAATGCTCACATTGAAGACAGTACCCTGCTCCAAAGGTGTCACATGAAAGTGTCCAGCCAGAGTGTCTGACAAGGGTGTCCTACAAGAGTGTCAAGCAAAGTGTCGCAAAAGCATGTCCTGCAAGAGTGTAAGAGTGTCTTCCCAGAATCTAAATCTCCAAGAGTGTCTTTGAAGAGTGTCAAACAACATTTGGCCGTTTGTGTTTGCTTACGTGTGTGCATTCAAGTTCGCGTGCTCTGTCTTGTGACTTGTGTTTCATTGTTTTAAGGAAAGGTTTCTGTCCTGGCAGTCGAATGAAGGCCATCCTTGGGACATTTGCTTACCCAAACCGAACATTTTTCTTACTAAAGCTAGTTTGTTTGCTTCAAAAAACCAGTGGTCTCAGCGTCCTTTGATGGATTTGGGCTTTCGATTGGGGGCTTGCAATGCTGTCGCTTGACATGTGCATATCACTTCAAGCACCTACCTGATTACTTTCCAGAATCCGAAATCATGTCCAGACCGACGCACCACGGGCTGCCGAAGGGAACATCTAACATCTATAGTTTTAGGTCAGCCAGCACAAAAAGCAAAACAACATACTCAATGCAAACAGTGACGGTCCGAATGGGGCACAAACAAAGTTTTCCAAACAACATATGCATACAAAACATGTAAATACTGTCATAGTGATCACTTCACCACATAACAAAATCCTGCCAAAAAAAGACACTCTCCCAGCGGATCTCACGCTACTTGTATTGAGCGCGTACGGGAAGGCCCGTGAAATGTTTGTGGACTCAACTCCAACCAGAAGCCAACCTCAAGAAGTCCCCAAGGCAAACGTCTTGCAACAAGCTCCAGTGTGGCCGGAGCACATGTGGCTTAACCATGTGCTCAACAGCTATATAATGCTATATATATATTATATACCTTGCGACACACCGCTTGGGACAGCCGAGGCTTGAGAACACAACCAAGAAAAAAGGGCTCTTTGTCTCCTTTCAGGTGTTCTGCCCTGCGCCCCCACACCTTCACAGCGAAGTCCGCATTCGCGGCGGTGTACTCGTGCGAGCAGAACCTCCGTCGAAGCATGTGCCACATCACCGGAGCTCTGAACATCTGAAAGGATGGACTGCACATGGAGTTCCAAACGGCTGCTGATGACCAGCATGAGAAGTGCGCGTTGGCATGCGCAAGCGCGGAGCGAACGACCGAAAAAGGGTCGTTTTCTGATTCAGAGGGGTCCCTTTTTGTGTGGTTCGTTTCATGCCCCCACTGCCAGGAGGTTCTTTCGATGTTGGTTATTTCCTTTGACCGTTGGAGCGCTAGGACCCTTTTTTTTCGTTTGGATACTCGAAGTCCTCACGTCACCCAGGGCCGGAAGGGCAAACAATCCACCCCAAAACATCCCGGCCGTCGTCCACAGCAACGAAGTGGGAGCATTTTCTCCATGAGGTGCGTGTATTATTGGCCAAGTGTGTGAGGAAGTCCTCTACTAAATGGGAGCTCCTGCACGGATCGAAAGAGCCGATCTGAAGATGGCTCTCCCATCGGCTCCAAAAACTGGAGCTTAAGTCATACAACAAAAATTTGTAGCTTCCACCCGCTTCTTGGAACTTTGTGGTCACCACCTATATACATACATCATTACAGCCTGTTTTCTGAGCGAAACAGCGGTCCAGGGGGGTCCTGACTGATCTCCACATCCAATCCGACTCGGAAGGTTTCACCTCTGAGCGCCCCGACACCACGGTCTCGTCGGGCAAAGCACGAAGCTTCCCCAAGGAGGCCTGACTAGCACCCCGAGGGCGGAGGTGCTTGAGAGCTGTGTGATCTCCAAGATGGCATCAAGATGTTGTATATTACAATGACCTAGAACCTGGGTGACCCCTAGTTTGGAGCCAACCAAAACATGAATGATCTTTTCGTATCGGATCAAGAGTCATATGGGTTGTTTGCACCATAATCGTGAATATGAATGAATCAAGTGACCCTGATATAGGATCCTTCAGCACATGTCCACCGGCAAACCCTTCCGTTTCCTACCGGTTCTTTGATCCACTTCTATCATTGGCCTAGGCTGGCTGGACAGCGATGGATGATGCATCGGATGCATCGGCTTGACCGTCGCTGGACAACCGCCGACCGATCCTCTGCTCTTCATCCAGTCTGGTCTTCATCCAGTCTTCCAGCTCGCTGGCAGCACAACGTCCAGGTGGCCATACTCTGCTGCCATATGCAGAGCCGTTGCCCTTGCTCCATCTGTAGTAGTTGCTGCATCCAAGTCAGCTCCAGCCGCAAGCAGCAACTGCACAACTTCCTCATGTCCATTCTGAGCTGCGACAGGGGGGGTAGCGCTGCGAGTGTCCCAACCTGTCGCGGGTTAAGGACACGCAAAGCCACTCGCTAGGCAGAGTCCTCAGGGAGAGTACAAGCTGCCTGCAGGGTTCTACGCCGTAACGTGTGCTCTTCGTGTCGGATGTTTCCCATTTGTTGAAGAAGGTCCAAACAAGAGTCGAGAGTCATCTCAGGGCCCCACCCTAAACGTGCAGCAAAGTCGGAAACCGGACGCGGTAGCACCCGCAGCGCAGCGAAAAGCCGGCAGACCCACAGCACATGATCGATGGAAGGGACCACGGGCTCATGACAATACGGACAATGCTGAGGACGGACAGCAGCATGGACAGTAGCAGGAGTGGACATGCCCCCCACTAAAACGGCCGCCGCCTCCCCGGACACCCGTTTGACAAGCCCTTTGAGCAATGACCCTATATGCTCGGAGTACTGCAAATTCAGCTCACGGCCAACAGCAGAATCACGTCGTTGTCGATTTTGCAACCAACTGTTAAACTGCCAAGACCGCCAAGACTCGCGGAAATGGTGAAGCATTTTCCCAAATTGGGCCGGTTGAGACCGGATGTCCAAACGAACCCCGGACGCGTGCTCCCACACGCCCCACTGTATATGTATATATATATATAATATATGTATAATGCGAGCTGCAATATACAATGCGGTTGCCCCATCTGTAGTTGCTGCATCCTTTTCAGCTCCAGTCTCATTCAGCAACCGCACAACTTCCACGTGGCCGTTCCGGGCTGCAATATACAATGCGGTTGCCGGTTGCCCAAACTGTAGTTGCTGCATCCTTGTCAGCTCCAGTCTCAATCAGCAACCGCACAACTTCCACGTGGCCGTTCCGGGCTGCAATATACAATGCGGTTGCCGGTTGCTCCATCTGTAGTTGCTGCATCTTTGTCGGCTCCAGTCTCAATCAGCAACCGCACAACTTCCACGTGGCCGTTCTGGGCTGCAGTATACAATGCGGTTGCCCCATCTGTAGTTGCTGCATCCTTGTCAGCTCCAGTCTCAATCAGCAACCACACAACTTCCACGTGGCCGTTCTGGGCTGCAATATACAATGCGGTGGCCCCACCTGGTTTTGTTGCATCCACTTCCATCATTGGCATAGGCCTGGGCTGGAGAGCGAAATGACGCATCGGATGCATAGGCCTTCTTCGCACAACGTCCAGGTGGCCATACTCTGCTGCCATATGCAGAGCCGTTGCCCTTGCTCCATCTGTAGTAGTTGCTGCATCCAATTCAACTCCAGCCTCAAGCAGCAAACGCACCACTGCCAGGTGGCCTTCTCTAGCTGCAAGAGACAATGCAGTTACTCCAGTTATTGTTGCTGCTTCTTTGTCAGCTCCAGCCTGAAGCAGCAACTGCACCACTTCCAAGTGGCCACAGAAAGCTGCAAACATCAAGGCGGTTGCCCCATCATAGGTCATATGATTTTCTCATTGTTGCATTCTTGTCCGCTCCAGCCTCAAGCAACAACTGCACAATCTCCAAATGCCCCTTTTCAGCTGCCACATGAATGGGTGCCTTGCTGGCAGTACCACCTCTTCAATTGGGATCGTATGGTTTCTGAAAGAGCCTTTCAAGTTCGATCACGTCATTCTCGCGACAGCAGCGAAGTAGCTCGTCCCACATGTTCTCCTCTGGGGCACAAAAGTCCAGTATCACCAGCTGCACACATGAGATTGGTTTCAACGGCATGTCATCGTGCAATGCGCCAGTTTCGTCACTAAAGAGTCTTTGCTGAAATCTTGAGTGTCCAACCTGGGCTGCAAGGAGCTGCTTTAAGTGCAGGACGGATTTTCCATGTTCAACCATGTCAAGCAACTGATCCTGATCCACCTCAGCTACTGTTCGGCCAGACACAGCTGTAATCTCCATCAGACAGAGGCTCACGCGAGCCTCAAGTGTCCAGAATAAGCATACAAACCATGGCTGAAAAAGACAGATACACTACGTTGTGCCAATATGCAGTGTGGTAATTTGGATGAGCAATCTGCAATATAGCTTGTAAACATATGTTGCTATTTATGTGTATTTCTGTCTATGACAACAATATGACCTATGCCCATCATGACCACAGTAAGATTTGCCATCATCCATCGAATGAGCCAAACCGACGACCAGGATATACCAGGGTAAACCAAATGCATCCAAATGTGATAGTTAGGCAGTTAGACCATGTTAAACGTCAAACAGACTCCAAAGAAACTCTAGAGACGAATCCCTGGTGACTGCCTGATTCACGGGAAAATCGATCCAACCTCCGCTGTGAAGCGGCCACCGACTCCTCCCACCAAGCACCGCAGCACCGCTGGCCGCACCGCCGGCGGCCGACTCACGAAACCCGAAACAGAGTGAAGCTGATCTTCCAAGATCTTCCCAGCGCTGATGAAAATTCACCCAAAATCATCCAATCTGACTTTTGTACATTGACAGTGTATAATATAACATGTATATATAATAGTTATCTAATGTTATCTATATATAGATAGATCCCATTACCACGGCCCAGGTTGGTTCAAATAATAGTGATCATGTCAAGAACCAACGGCTATACTGGCTTACTGGGACACACCTAGTACATGCCCTTTCTCCAACAAACATGGAAGGGAATATGGCCTCTTGGAAGACTGTTACAAGCCGGTGGTGAACTCCACTTCCATTGTTGTTTCAGGGAGTGTAACACTTCAACGTGACATTTCATGGATGGCTTCAGGAAACATCTGCGGACCTCCCCCAATGACCGACAGTCACCTGCATCCGCACGAAGTCACCGGTAAAGACGCGGCCGCAGCCCAGCGTGAAGAGGCAATCGCCGGTCAAGGCCATGGGAACCTGAGCGAAAGCAGAGCGGGGCATGGACATGGGTGGCTAGCTGGCAAGCGAGTTTTTTCTTTGTTTTTAATGGAAGACGTGGGCAGAAATGTTGCGTGGGCAGAAATGTTGGGTATTCTAGATCAAATCAAAGTGAGGGTTGTCAATTGATTGATCTTTAGTTCATTGTGACCTTTTGTCTATTCATTTTTAGTGGGTTCTGCTGGGTTGACTACAGATGAATGATTGATATGATTGATACACATAGCCTCATCTCCCGCCTCTTCAAAGAAGTATGCGATGTGGCTGGCGGTATGGCCGCCCACTTCCAACCTTGCCACATGTGAAAAACACCAGGGAACATCGCCGGCGCGGCGGCACATGCCGAAGACCAATCCATAGATGTGTTGTAGACCATCTGATGCACTCCCCTCATGTTCTAGACTTAGAGGATCTTGTCAACCAACTGATTTCTTCCCTTCTCCAATCATGCATCGGAGCCCAACCGGAGCTGCTGGAAAATCGAACGACCCACCGAAACGGGGGGGACCGTGTCATGATCCCCCGGGCCTCGGGTCCCGCATCCTCAGGTTCGGTGGATTAGGGGTCTTTGCCCACCGAAGATGAGGAGATGGGCTCGGACGGAGCCCTAAGGGATCTGGACCAAGGGAATCGAATTCAGGGCCCAAAGAAGTCGCGCCCTGAAACAAACTCCGTCGATCTGCCGCCCTGGCATATGCGTCAAAAACCGGAGGACCCAATGGTCAAACACCGAACATGACATGAATAGTTATACCAGGTCATAAGGGTATGAACCTCAATACACATGGAATAACTTATGGTATAACATTCCAGGTCATAAGTTATAACATGACATGAACAGTTATACCATTCCATGAACAGAGGTCAAGCTATATAAGGGTTTGAGGTTCCGGTTCTTGACCGGCAGCGAGATTGTTGTATAAACGTCGCATGCAATCACAAGAGAACCTAGGCACCGCACACTCGGGCTCGAAGGGCCTCAGATAAGCTGTCGGGTCCAGCATGACCCTGGATGTCTGGTGGCGATCCACGATCCAAATCCAAAATATGTCATCCAAGTGGTGCACCTATAGTCCATTGATGAAGTAGTGAAGAGTTTGGGACAGCCACATGGCCTAGTCGGGAGTTTATCGTATCTGAGATTGAAGAACAACCGATGAATGAACAAGATCAAGCCATCTGAAATGAAACGCTTTGACAATCCAACCCCACCTCGAAAAAAATGTGGTCCAATTCTTCTGTCTCGCAGCGTTTCCCTGGGTACACTAGGGTACCCAAGCCCAAGCCCAACACATCCACCTCAATTCACCATCAGGAACCCATCGACTCCATCCCCAATCCACCTCAATCCATCCAACGGCGCCCGGAGCCACAAGTAAGTAGGAGGGGAGTTCTTGTCCAGCGCCCAATCCACGTTTGTATTCTTTGCTTCTTCAACTCGCACAGCCAGAAAAGACCAAAAGAGCTTTTTTTTGAGTAAATGTGATATAGTGTGTTCTTAAAGATATGCCGTGCGGCGAACCTTGCCATATGTCATACTAACTAATAGGGAACGACGCCACCTGGCGCCTGGTGTTTTCGTGATTTCTCGATTCTTCTCCCCAGTCAGGCTCCGACACGCATGCTCGGACCCTCTTTTTCCACTTTCCAAAACTACTTGCGTTTCCACACTTTTGCTAGTGCAGAGATATTTTCCTGGCATGATCCGCGGAATTTCTCGCGACGGAAGAGCCACTGCCACACACGCACTTCTAGCTTGGTGGAATGCTTTGCTTTCACACCTTTTTCCTTCTTTTTTATTGCCATTTTGTGGCAGCCAGCTTTTCAAGCTCTTCCAGTCAGCATCAAGAGTTTGAGTGCCCGCTTCTTTTGATAATCCACGTGGAACAACTTGGTCTGTGATGGGTACACTATATTCCTTTTTTTGATGGACACAATGGAAGCAAAAACAAAGCGGCTTTGCTCCATGCTCTGGCGCCGTCTGCGTACAGCGCGGCTGGTCGGGCAGCACTGACCCGAGACAAAATGCCTGAAATACGAAGTTTGGAACAAACGAAAGTGAAGTCGTCCAGATACCCCGGGTGAACACGAAACCAAGGTCGAAGAACTGTTGGTAACTCGTCTATGTCCTCAAACCCCCCCAACCGCAACAAAAGAACCAAAGCAACAACACACCAGAAAAAAAGGAAAGACGGCTGCGGCATGTCGTCCCTGAGCCAATTTCGGCATGCATGCGCGCGTAAGTTGCATGTACTCATGTGCGAAGTGTAAATGTCAACGTGCATGCAACGAACATTCACATATGGGTGCTAGAAAACAAATATGTCATTATATGTCATTATCCCCAGCTCCCCCCCCCCCCCCCCCATGTCATACCGTTCGCGTGGTAGCGTAGATCATGAAAAGAGGAAAAACGTGGTAGTGTAGATCATGAAAACAGGATAAACGTGGTAGTGTAGATCATGAAAACACGAAAAACGCTCAAAAATAGCTAAAAATACCAGGCGTCCGCCAGCGACGTTGGCAACTAATAAACACACAACTCAACTTATATTTAAAATACATACTAAACAATCAGGTGCCATACGACCGAGGTTGCTCCCAAAGCCCGAACAAAGTTGGGATCTCAAGAAGTGTTCCTTATTCGATTGAGCATACCGCATCCCCCCCGGGCCAGGATTCTTTGTGATGTCCAAGGGCAACGAACATATGAAACATAAATAAAACACACGAGCTCAGCCACCTTGTTGAATCTCAACGGCAATGGATGTGGCACCAGCTCCCATCCGGCTGCTAGCGGCCTGTGCCTCGGCCAATTGCCGTAGATCCCATGCAACCAATGCAGCCCAGCCACGCCACACTGCACCTCGTCGCCCTCGCACACCTGGCAACAGTGCTGGATCCAGTGAGTGAAACAGGTCAAGTCAGTAACCTCTACTTGTTTGTCTCATGTTGTTTCTTGTTTGGGCCAAGGTTCATACCTGCAATATCCTGAGTTCACACGACCAGTCCTTTTCTTGGCTTTGTACCTCTACCCGCCACCCTTCGTACCTTTCCCGCTTCGTACCCCACCCGTACCCCCGCCCGGTCGGACGCCTCGAGGTCCACGCCTGGGATCGCCTCGCCTTCGGAGCCTTCGGTGCCGAACCGGTCGACCAACGAGGTGAGATTCCCCAACAAGCATCGGAAGCAGCGAAGGAAGACCACGATGCATGTATTAAGTCAACATAACGTTTTGGTAGGGACTGGTCAGATTGAATTTGGGCCAAGAACTCCAGTGTGTGTGGCAACCAAAAAAGGTATCTCTTTGGCGGTCAAAGGCCTGCTAGGAACCAACACCAAAGGAACAGGGCTCCAAGTATCTAGGGCTCCAGTCGTGCCTCCTCAGGTTCGGTATGACTGGACCCTCCTGGCACCCACCTCAGTCCCACCTTCAAAACAAAGGTACTTGGAGCCTTAGGGACTGTAATGTAGGTTAGGTCTACTATGGACGATGAATAATAACCCCCCATTTGGATGCGCTCAACCTCTTCATGATTGATCAAGAGTCTACACCTTTCTTCGGACCACGGATTCTTTAGCTTCAAAAACTCCCAAATGCTGAAGATTAACACAATGGATTGGAGAACACCAGGGCTGGAATGTCTCCGGATCGCTCCCTGCACACCAGCTACAGTAGTGATTTTGAAAGGTTCCACATGAAGTCATCATGGACCATGGAAGTGGGACCTGGGACAAGAAATGCGGATGGCACGTCCGTTCCAGGGAGTACTATCAAGTTACCGAACCCTACATGGTGGTGATTTCTCAGGGATCAAGACCGACATGGAGTCGTTCACGTTGCGAAGCACGAAGCAACCGGAATGTCCTGTGCTCACCCAAAAGAACGCGGAATATGGCTGCGGTTCAGGGCACCTGGTGCCAACAGATTCCTCTATGATCCTCTATGACTCTATGATCTCTATCAGAAATGTCAACCCCACCCATGCTTTGGTGGGGCTCACTGTGCTTGGGGACTTGCCCCACTCTTACCGCCCGCCCTCTCTTACCGCCCGGGGCTCCCTCCGAGGCCGTGCTTCTCACTTCTGAGGGTCCAACTGCGATGCCCTACGATCTGGACACCTGGAAACTGAGCCTGCCAGGCGACCAGTCCGGGGGGCAGGAATATCAGTGAATGTGGGAGAGATGGAGGCCGAAGTGGAGCTATGTCCACATACACTTGTTGTTCGCGGATCCTGATTCCAAAAACCTCAACGGGATGGTTTTTACCCTGAGGACTGTAGGGAAACTGCACGGAAGGTCTGATGTTGCATGGTCAGAAAACATCTTGATGTTGTGAGCCCACCCATCTCTATCCCAAAGCATCCCTTTTGTAGGGGTCTTCGCAGGACCCTTTGGTGTCCCACAGTCCCTCAATCTCCTGGGGTCTTCGAATCCGCCCAGGAGACTCGGAGAGTCGGTAGAGATCGAATCATTTGTTGAGTGTTTCTAGAGGATAGCCGGGTAGCTTGTACCATGTCATGCATCATGACCATGCCTTGAAAAGGTATTTCACTCCCTTGTTGTGTCTATTGAATACAACAAAGTGAAACTGTAGCATGGGAGTGGATCGAAAGTAACCATCCAAACCGTTGAAGAAATGGAAGATCCTCCAGTTCATAGGAGTCTTCTACACAACCATCCGCTATTCCCACGTTCGCGCTTTACCGTTACGTCCTTCTATTGGGAAGGGTTATATAGTAAAAAACTGTCACGGAATCCCAAACAGATAATCCAGCCTCTATATAGGTCACTGTCACGGGTGATGCTGAAGAACTTCCTGTTTAAACAATGAAGAACTCGTCCGTCTCAGTGGTGTCCTTTTGGGAAGAATAGATGGGTCGGTTTGGTACCATTTACCTATTGGTTGTACACCAACGGTTATCCTCTCTATCAATCAACCAACTAATAGTAAACGGCCATGTATGGTCCGTCTCTGGTGTCCAAAGCATCCGTCTCGCGTCCGAGGCGCGACGTCTCGCGGCGACGCCTTGAGGTCCATGTTCCCACCCACATGATCATCTGAGTCGAGCCAGGCTGTAAGGGAGCGTACGTAAAACAAAAACCGAACGGACAAAGAAGAAGAAATGCACATGCCCATCATGCCCCGAGCAGTCCATCTTCGAGGTGTGACTTCCAGCTTGAGAAGTGGGTAAGTTTCACCGATTCCCCCGGGACCAACAAAAGATGGACGGATCGAGATCATCCTTATTTGTTGTGAAATGGACATGCACAACTCCCATGACATGATCATCAAACTAAGATTTCAAACAAAAGACTGGAAGGGGTTTCATGCAACAATTACCATTAAATACTTATAGCGGTGCTATATTTAAGCGAAGCACCCTCACGGGGCGCATGCTGATTGTAATGGTCCCACATATGTTTCTTAACATATTGTTCCATCCTGCTAGAGGGTGAGGGATCAAGCAAAGCGAGGGTCTTTCCACAAACGACTTGCAAGAGTTGTCTAACACATGGTCACATGTGGTCCATGCAACAAAGGCTAGACAAAAAGAAAACCGTGGCGTGCTAGATATCTCTAACCGTATGGAGTGGCAAAAGTCTCCTGACGAAAGCGTTGACCCACAGACCCTGTACACCAGTTGAGTACATTCGGAATGAAATGGATCATCTCAAACCGGCTGAACCATGCTTTTTGGTATCTGTTTTTCACCAAAACAACATGTTGGTGGCTCTATAATCTCTATAGAATGTTCAGTAATGGTCCTGGTATGTCCTGGTTGTGAGGCAAGACCATTAGTCAACAAAGCATTCGGTCGCTCGAGGCCTCTCATCTCAACTAACATATCCATTTCTTAGCGCTGCCCCGCATCAAGAATCAGTCCAGGTCGCCGTGGTAATGCGTGTTCAGGATGTGTGTCAATGTCCAGCCCTTCTTCTTCAATGCAGCTGCGATGGATGAGGCCTTCATCAACGACGACCGCGCTGCTCAGAGTGTGCGACAATGTCGGTGGAGCAACGGATGTGTCTCCATGTTGGAGATATAGTATTGGCCCATAACCTGGCCCATATTATATGGTATTGAATGGCACCTTAGGTATGTGGTGCACCGAGTGACTCGTATACTTATACCATCAACGCGTCTCACTGAGAGAGGTAGTACCAAATGGTACCTGCCCAAGGAGAACGACTTTGGGTAGGATTTATCATGGATTAATTTATCACATGTTGGAGGCTATTCTTTGGGAGACTCGCTTGGACTGTAGCATTTCATGTACTTGGAGAACGTGAGAAACACTTGGAACATGCTGCAACAGTTCAAATCGGACAGACTTGACACCTCTCAAGCTTGATGTGCAGGTAGGACCAGCTCGGATTAAGAACCCCCCCATGCGTTTGGTCCGCCTCATTCCGGCAAGACAAGACTGACCCGCTTTTCAAACATCTTGCAAGTCTAGAAGTTGCATTAGTCAACCAGCAGCATGCTGTTTTCAGCTTTTACAGTTCTCTTATTGAAGCTATTTTGGTCTCTTTCATTGTCCTCGACAGAACATAACTACTTCAAACTATATATCTTCGATCAGATCCAAATCACTTCAACAGCAAAAAACAAGGACTTGATCAAATAGGACTCCAACAGTAATAGGACTTCAATCAACATCACTTACAGATCACTTCAACAGTAATAGGCATAGGACTTCAGTCCGGTTTGTCTGGTTCCTCCGGTATCTGTCTTCACCCCTCCGCTGGCCTCAGGCGTGTCCATCACCTGAAATGTCCACCGACGCAACCGCTGCAGTCCAAGGATGCAGTCCAAGGATTTCTTTGTCTTATGTGTTTAAACCAAAAGTCAGAACATGTACATAATTACGTATATTTCATACTCGACCTAATTTGCAAAACCCGCCAAATTTTGAACATTGGTCCCATCATGTCCCATCTCATCAAATTCAAATTAGTCTGAAAGTTGTGTCGATCTTTTCTTCACTTCGTCCACCCTTGGACCGCGTCCGCATCCGACAAAACATACAAAACCACCCTTCACCCGGCTGAGCTTGTGACGAAAGTCACATTGGAGGCCGCGTGATGAAAGATCGGGCAGTAGTTGTCGCTCAAACACTGCACCAACTCCACCTGCGTCAGGCGCAATCTTCCGCCATGTTCGACTGCTTCTGCTGCATAGGTCGGACCTAGGACCTAGGATTTGATACCAAAAAACATATGAAAGCAACCCAGTGTTTCCCTCCCTGGTGACCTTGCATGTTTCAAGGCTGAAATAACTTGCTCCAACTTCCCACCGCCTCAGGGATCTTGCATTGGGGGTTCAGGGTCTTTGCAGCGAAACCACATGCTCCAACTTCCGCAACACCCCAGGCACCGCCGGTACCGCGCTTTTCAACTGTCGAGAGAGCCGAGTCTCGTGGAAGTCACTAGCCGTGTCTTCATATCCAATGCCCAAGTTGGAGGCAAAGCCCTAATGATGCAAGGAAGATTTGCATGGATTCCACTTGAAGCCCATCCATGGAATCCAGCACCGGAATGTCCGACCCTCGAGTTCAAGCATAAAGTCTCTTGCAAACTGGTTGCAGTTGGCCTTCATAAATGGATTGGCCATATAGGTTTTGCTCTCCCATCTCTGTAAAAATGGCACGCAGCTCCAAATATCAACATGAGAAAGTTTCCAACGTTGTTGCACTTGCCCTTTGGGGTGTTCTGTTTGATCCAGGAACCCGATCTCCAGGTTGTACCCTGCTCCTGTCTGATCTGCTCCAAACTGGCAACGCAATACTTTCACTTTAAATGGATGTATTTTTACTGACAAATATATGCAAGAATGAAGGCTATCACGTGAAGCAGGAACATCCTTTCTTTCAGCGCACAGCTTTTGCACACTCAAAAGGTGCAAAAAATCCGCACACCATCGAATCGGAATCTGACCGTAGAGTGGCTCCGTCCTCCATTCAAGCTTCACAATATGGCCCATGCCAAGTGCTTTTTTGATTCGGTCCACGATGCGACCGATGAAGCCCTTGCGGCCCTTGCGGCCTTTGCGGCCCATGCCACGTTCAAGTACTTCTATAATATCTCGCGGCTTACATGCAGGATCACTCTGCACAGTATTCGTCGAGTGTGACTTGGGCCAGCGTGAAATTGAACGTGGAAGCTGGAAAAAGGCAATCTTCGCTTTGCTTGGGCCTGTAATCACCTTGTGATGGGCCACTGCTGCCATTAGCATCCAGATCCACAGTCGCTGGCGACTCCTTGAAAAAGCCATTGAATGCCGCAGGCAGCGTTTGCAGCACTGCTGCAAGTCTTGAACCAAGGCTCTTCAGCCCACAGCTCACGAAAGCAAGTTTTGCAGCGCCACCCCTGTCTTAGGTATGCTTAGGTTCGTCATGGCCTTAGAGGATGGTGTGAGGCTCTGTGTTTGGCCAGGTCGGTCGTGGACCCCTGGATTCTTGAAAAGGACCTATGCCCGGGAGACATTGAGAGATACACCAGGGATGATGTCGGTGTCAACCACAAAAGGTTGATGTTTATCAGGAAGGTTACATGCTGGACATAGCCAACAAGGAAACAGTTGGGGGACTCCATGGGACTTCTAGTGTTTCAACTTTCGGGTGGATTTGGGGGGTATTCCAGACCAAACTCTGCATAGTTGTTGGCTTTCTGGCCATCCAGTCCCGTATCAGGACGGTCGGCACCTCCGTATGCCGTCAACAGCAGAAGAATGGTCCAACATCCAAACCTGGAAGTGCAAACTTGGTCAGTGACTCTACCACCAAAATCATAAAGAGGTATCAAACATAAGTTCTTTAAACTTGGACATGTAGTATGTCGTATACCTTTCCAAACCTTCCATGGACGATGTAAAAAAACAAGGCCAACTATAGAACGAAAGACATTTCTTCACGTGTTCGCATGGCTTTCAGTGAGGTTTTACATGGTTTTTTTCATGGTATTTCACTATGCCCTGCCCTCCAACTCCCTCTCTGGAATCCACCTCCAAGCCGGCATTTTGCAGCGCCACGCAGGCTGAGCTGCCCATCCCCTGCCAATTGCCATAGGGCTCCAACTACATCCCTATAGAAGGTAGCTACAGCTTACAAAGCCAACCCAATCACCTTGGAGGTAGTTGGAGCTCTAGGGATAGGACACCACCTCCTTTCAGGATGTTGAAGACCTCATCTTCCGCAATCCACTTGAAGATCACTTGTTGGGTGTTGGGCAAGCTATGGACTTTCGACTTGTGCTTGTCCCCCTTAAAAGAAAAAAACTACCTAGCACTAAAGGGAGATAAACATCCAGCTCTCAACTTGACATCAATGATGTTGAAACTGGAAGACTGAATCTTGCCGCTGTCGTTCCAGCTTGCAGCAGAAAAATGGTCGAGGACATGCACCTCGCTGGAGGCTGAAGTGGAGGAGGCTCTGAGCAAAACATGGCCTCAGGTGCCAAGAGAGGCGCCTTCTCAGCCGGAAAAGGGCTTTATGAGTGTGAACACACGTGTAAACTTGCTTTTGTGCGAGGATAGGAATCCCCTGGTGCTGAACCAGGTTTCAACGCTCTTGGAGGGTGGACCTGACAATCCCTTCCGCGCAGTACTCTTCGCCATGACGTTCCAATTGCACTCTACACGTTCCAAGCTCCCCCACTGCGCTGCGTGAGTGCACGAGCCGTGATGGCTGCAGCAACGGCGCTGTGACCTCAAACTGCAGTGACTAGTGGAGTTGGCGTGCACTGTTCATCTAGTTATCTATATAATTGTTTTACACACAGATGTATCCAAAGATTGTTCAAATGGCATTGAGGATGGGAATGGACTTCATAAGGGGAAGAGATGGGAAGAGTATGTTCAGTCTTGCACAAAAGAGTTGATGTGTTGTGATGCTGGAGCTGCTATGAGATGTCGAACCCCGAAGAAAATAGAGCTCTTTCTTGTCAGGCGAGGTCGATTATGGGCGAGGTGCGCCCAAAAGCACTATGACAAAAGGTGTTGCATTGCTTCATGCTGCTTCAATAATGCAAGTTTAGTGACTCCTGCGTCCTTTGGGTTTCTTATCGCTAAAGTCTCTCCTGTTTTCCGACGGGAAGCGAGGACATCGACCCAGCAACATCCCACGAGCGTTGTATCATGATATGTTGAGCTCAGCTGTTTTTCCCCTAGCTGCCTAGATCACAACCAGCTCGCCTCTTCCATCTATTTGGGTTGCAAAGGCCACAAACATCTGGGCGGTCCCCAACTCGACCCTTGACCCCAGTGGCGAGCGGCGTCGAACCACCAAAACCTCGGTGCTAGTCTCGTTCTTCATCGTCAGGCAACGGTTCCCTTACTAACAATTCAACAGTTCTAATCTGCTGGTTGATCCACTAGTGTCACCGGTGGCTCCGCTGATTCGGCAGAAACTGGACAACACTTGGAAATCCCAAGAGCGGGACGAAACAGCACGACATAGGCTTCTCTCCAAACAGGCGAGCTTTTCGTAGATTCGATGCCACTCACGGCAAACGGACCAGCAACATCAAGCAAGCCTTTGGTTGGAGTGGCAAAAAAGCATGAATCTTTTGGAAGCCCTCCAATAATTCCCCATGGTAAATATACAACAAGGATCTTAAAAGGAGCTACATCATCCACTTCCGCACCCCCGACACGTGCTGAGTCGCCGGCGCCAGTCCCCTCTTCGCATCGCCATGCCACGCGCGCCCACTCCACGCCACGGTCGTCCCGCACGAGGTGCCCACGGGGCACGGGGCACGTGGCGGGTGAAGGTGCGGGGCACGAGCATGGCGCTTGAGCAAACTGCGGCGAACGGCGCAGCACTAAGGCAATCATGAGAGCTTTGTACGTCATAGCAGTCATTTAAGTCATTAGCGGCTGGTCACGCCGAGTCAGAGTGCTGTGCTGGCCGGCCTTAACGTCGTCCAAACATAATGGAAACTGATGGAATGAGTCGTGACTTCACGCAGGAACTAAAGATCACAACAACTTCCGAAGTTGAGACGTTGAAGTATTGCCTACTGATTGGCGTCTTTCATCAAAGCCGTGTGTTTCAACATGTTTCAACCCAAACCAATCAGCCAACCAACCCACCATAACCCATCCACGCACCAACATGCACCAACAATTCCTTGTATCAGTCCTCAACTCAACCAACCACTTTCTTGCAGCTGATCATCACGAATCATGATTCATCCCAGGCCGCTAGTATTAATGGGTCGATCCGATTTGCCACCCCCCAGTTGGATGCTGTTTTCTTCAGAAGTGGATTCTGTATTGCCTGTCATCTTCCTTTACAAACCCTTTCAGTGAATTGATGTCCCATATAATGTTTGACATGATTTGACAACTATAACTACACCCACAAAAGAAAAAAAAACGTCCTATAGATTTCATCTCGATTCAGGCTTCTCATTCCACGCCCGCTGTACCCGCAGCTTTCACCGCCCACAGGGCCTTCCACCGAACCGCGGTGGCTAAGCCTTCGCCCACCCCTACCGCCCACCCCTACCGCGCGCGTTCGACCGTCCTCACTTCCCGGAGTTGGGAAGCCTGGGGACAACGAAACCTGGGGCCGCTCGGTCGCGTGGGTCGTCGTTTTCGTCTCGGACGAGGCCTGACGCGGCCTGACGAGCGGACCTGAAGTTGGGGGGGCGGAGAAGTGGGCACCGCCGAGGTGGCGCCACGTGGCACGGTGGTGAAGTCGCTTTTGGACTGACTGGTGGTTGTAGAAAGGAGGGTGGGTTGATCACATGGCCAGTATGTCGAATATTTGTTTGGGGGGTGGGAAAACTGAACATGCATCAAACAACCTTTAAATAATAGTATAGGTTTCAGGATCAGTTCACATCTGTTGGGCTGATACGGGCTGCTTGCTTGCTGCTTTTTTTCATTCTGATAATAAAGAAACACCATGATCTGGGTATGACATGTGAGGGTGCCATGACGATCATGAACTCCCTACATCCGATCAACATAGAACTCCTGAGGCGACTTGGACCTCTAAGTCGAGGCGAAGGACCCGAGGTGTCCACAATTTTTCAGGTGTGACAAACTGTTCGTTATACAAAGGCACCGAATATAGATAAATGGATGGATGGATGGATGGATGGATGGATGGATGGATGGATGGATGGAGACTGGCAAAGAAGTATCAACCGTTGTCGCCATTTGCTTGCCATTGTTCGTTTGCAACCATCGATGTCACCGACCCAGATCGGGGTCCCCCGGTCCGGTTTTCCGTTTGGCCAAAGGCACGGGAGAACTTCCAAGGGTGGAGTCCTCATCCAATCGACGCATGAACTTCCGGAAGCTTTGCTTCATGTGTTGACCTGATCGATCGTGGATCGGTCGGGCATCCTCATCCTGGCCCAGTCAACGGGAAAAACCTCTGATCTTTTGCTTCAAACAGCCTCGCCCTTAAGAAGTCTGGAGGTCAAGTGGATGCCCGGGCTGAGAGTGGCGGGCTGCACAGAGGTGTTGGTGGCAGTTCACCAATACGTTCCTTTGGTTGTTTTGGAGTTCAGCATGGCTTCCAAAGGGTCACCAATAGACTTGTAAATCTCTATCACACACCCGGTCCCAAGGTCCAGGTAGGTTTAGTTCTAGGATGTTCTAGGTACAAGTGGACTTGCAAGACCAACCAATCACTCAGCACACATCCTGATGTTCTGCGTCTGGAGCATATTATGTAGAAGGCCTTTGGCTCAACACAATCTGAAGGTCTTTGGGTTGACCTTCAACAGTTGTCCTGAGCTTGCGGTGTATATAAAGAAAGTTGAGCTCCTGAAGCAGATCAGCAGGAATATTTTTTGGTCAAGAGCTACTTACAAATAGCTACAGTACAGGAGTTTTCTGAGGCCTAAGCTACGAGCTGTCTTCCGCTTTTTGTTGAACTGCCAAACTCTTCGGCTACAAAGTTCGTCGATGACGAACATGCTCTCCCCAGTTCACGATCCCATCGGCAATGGAATATAGCAGATCAGCAGCCAAACGGGGCTCAACATTTGGCCGCAAAGGAAACTGTGCATTGCTGGTAACTGTGTTTTCAATCTGTTTCCCAAACGAGCTAACGATGTCTGAAAGAAAATACTGTCCCTAGGCGTAAACTTGCATAAACAACATAGCCTCCGACTGACCATACACTACACTGTCCCTAGGCGTTTATGTCCTACAGGCATGTTGCACCTGCAGCATGATGGAACCACGAGTTAAGCAGTATGCCAAGGTGTTTATTTGCAAGAGGCACGCGTTGCCCCATGCAAGATACATCCTTGGCCATAATTTCTGACTTAGCCATAGCACACTGAACCTGAGCTTCATTCAAACACATTTGTGCAAAGTGTCCAGGTGTCTTTACACAGGGATTCCTTAGGCTGTCCCTAAGTCTTCATGTGCTGCTGACATCGTACGGCCATTCACGCAACACGAGGGAACTATGGTGTCTCCATCTGCCAAGGCTTCCCATGTCATCAAGCTTCAGTAGCCAGCTTGACAACTGCAATCTATTCCTTGACAGCAGCACAATCCAGTAAGTCTTGACTTTAGAGCCCAATTTGCACCTGCTCTCTGAAAAGACGTATTTTATGTGGCAGTTGCTCTGAACACGCAAACTGGCATAAACAACATAGTCTCCGACTGAGCATACACTGCTCTGTCCCTAGGCGTTTATGTCCTACAGGCATGTTGCACCTGCAGCATGATGGAACCACGAGTTAAGCAGTATGCCAAGGTGTTTATTTGCAAGAGGCACGCGTTGCCCCATGCAAGATACATCCTTGGCCATAATTTCTGACTTAGCCATAGCACACTGAACCTGAGCTTCATTCAAACACATTTGTGCAA